ACCTCAGCTGCTCCTCATAAGTCTTGCCCTCAATATCATTCACCATCTTGGTTGCTCTTCTACATAAACCACTACTTTCTTTGGTAAAGAGAAGATAACAGTTGGGCTCATCACCAAAATCAGACTGAGAATCATCCTTCTAGTCTAAAGTCAGAAAAGCTAATAAAGCCATCTTTAAGGCTAACATCAAAGAACAGGAGTCTTGGTGCAAACTGGGCTGCCTTTATAATCCTAATCTTACAGGATAAATAAATTATCACCCATGAAGGAGAAAGTTTTTCAACTCAATATGTGACATCATAGTAAACAAAGATTATTAACATCCCAGTAATGACCTTTGGACATCACTTAACTTCCCTTTTGTCACTGAGGAACAGAAGAGTAGATCTGCTGCTACTTGTTCTTCAACAAACTTAGGTGGCCAAATTAAGAAAATGTAGTAGCAGGTAGATCAAAATAAAAACCAGCTGACTCCATAGATACAGGGGTACATGAAGTAAAGGACAAAGAGAACAAGTTTCCTGACTTCATTAGCCCGAGTTCTTCTGATTTCAAGCTCTTAACTCCAACAACCTTAGCCCCAAGCAAACTAGGAGACAAGAATAACCTGGTGTTACTCACTTCCATGTTCTCATTTATCTGCTAAAGATCTTAATGTCACTACAAGAACCAATGCCAGTAGGAGATGGAATGAGAAGCCAGGGTTGATTCAGACTTTGGTAACACAAGTCCACTGATAAATTGACAATGCTGGTCATTTCTTTATGGCTGTTTTTGGAAGACTTAATTCATCCTCCCCAGCACCCTGAGAAAGAAAACTGGTGCTACCAAGCTGAGAAGAGCTTCCTAAAGAAACCAGAGAGCTTCTGCAGCAACAGGGACCCTGACTTTCAGGTGAGCTCTGGGTGCTAAATCAAGAACAATCAGTTAGGTACCATTTAGAGCTATGAAGTGCCAAGGAAAACAGTGCAGGGATAGACCCCTACTCCTACAGGAGCTATCACTAGAAGACCTATCCATTGAACTCATTTTACCCTTCAGGCTCAGCTGACAGTTCTGTTAAATTCTGAAGATAATGTTTTATTACAAAACCTACCTTGGCACATTGGATCATCAAAAGACCTGTCCTGAAAGGTATGGGGCTCCTGAATCTGCTGGTAGACAGAGGACTAAGGACAACCTTTTTCAGATTCAAAATGGCATCTTTATGTACTGGCTGAGAGTACATAAAGCAAAGACTGAGAGAATGGATTAAGCTTTGAGGGGGGGGGGGAAAAAAAAAAAAAAAAAAGGTAAGCGTAGGGAATACCTGTTCTGCTTTTCCTTTACATGTCATCTATGAAACCAGAAAAAGGTATAGGATATGTGTATGGTATATGTATGGCTGACCTAAGTCTCTAAGCAGGGACTCACCTATACTCGTGTCAAGCAAGTCTGCACAGAAATTCCTTAAGAATCTCAAATTTTAGTGTCCCACAAAATTCATTATGGAGCAGCCCAACACTGTTCAATACTACAAAAGGCTACCATTCCCCCAAACAGGTCAACTGCTGCTACTAAGAGAATTAAATGCTCATGAAGAACAGCAACATAGATGGTTGAGAACTGGTGATTAGATAGAAATGAAGACTTTTTAAGCATTTAGCTCCAATTCAGCACCACTCAAGTAGTACAATAGTTTACTGTTTGCTCTGTACCATGTTCATGTAGATGTGATTAGAAGCATAAGCCTGACCAATTCAGCCTTAAGACACAAAAGCAGCTAAGCAGGAAACTCACTGCTTTGGAGGGATCAACATGCCTATTATCCTATCCTGCCCTGCCTTCTTGATTGCAAAAGAGCTCAACAGTGTCACCGCTGGGTTGACTAGAGCTGGGAATGAAACAGGGGACTTAAATCTGTTGCTTCTTCAGGCTCATGTTTCAGTGAGTATAGAAAATGGTGCTACACTGGATGCTGGCAAAAATACGTGCAACACCCTCTTGTCCTTCATTTCATCCCCTATTAAACCATCCTATAGAAAGATTTTTCAGACTGTCTGAAAGCAGGCCTCACTACCTTCTCTAGCCCATCCAGAAGTGCTTACTCCAGGAGGGAGAACAATGCAGTCTTTAATCAGCTTGGGCATATGTATCCCTATCGTACCTCCCACTCACACACTGAGATGCCATGTCCCTCAAAGTCAGTGCAAAATCTAGTTTCTCTTAAAGAAGGCTCCAGAGGCATCCAACAACTCATCTGATGACCAGCTTCAGGACAACACAGTAGTTCAGAGTCCTGCAGCATGCCCTCACCTGGAGCTATTGGTTAAGACATTTTTTACTTGCAGCTTAATTTTACATGAGGAATTATTAGCTAGTCATAAAGAAGAAAATAGAGGCTTGAGATCACATTATTAGTAACAATGCACGAACAAGGCTGCAACAAAATCATGTACTACTAAGACTACTTTCTGTGACGCACTTCAGAAGAACAAAACTACTGAGCATCCCATCTCTGAGAACTGATTATTACTAGAATGTAGTAAACAGCACACATGACATGGCCAAAAGGGGACTCACTACAATCTCTCCAGAAACTGTCAGCAGGACTCCATTTTGACATTAGAAAAAGAACCATCCTGACCTACCACTCTCATTTCCTAGGCAAGCATGGGTATCTGGAACCATACAGACTGTCTCACCGGTCTTATTTTACGACATGAAGAAGCCATCAATAGAGTCTCTTCCCTTAAATCCAGAAAACAAGTAGATTACATAAAAAAACATTTACTTGGGAAAGGAATGAAGCACGACAGCAGTGCTAAGCTGTTAGAAAAATAAACTGGGCAACCTAATCTAGACAAATAAGTACTTGTGATTTAATTTTTAGCAAAGTGGTGGCAATTGTGCTAAAGTCCTATTCCCTAGAACAGCATTACAAAGACTAGAGGAGAATACATATTGTGTTAGTCATATTTTTCTAGAAGCTTTCCAAACAAGGCCTACCTCTGTATCAGAATGTCAGATACAGATTTCTGAAGTCTGAGATACTTTTCAAATGATTGGTCCTTTTCAGGACACACATGCAGTTTCATTGTTCACAACCCAGAATTAGGGAAAAAAAAATAAAAAGGCTCTTGGGAACCTCTGCATGCTGCCTTGAAATCTTCATTCCCAGTTTTCTCCCCTCATGTTAACAGCTATGAATTCAGCCATTCTGAACATTTCCAGCTAGAAAAACTGTCTTTTTTTACAATAGGGTTAAAAGTGGCACAACTAAAGAGTGTCAGAGCAAGACTCATGGATGAAGAATGAGCCATACAGCATGACAAGGGCAGTTCAAATCCTTGGGACAAGGACCACCACTTAATTGTGGGGGAAGGTGGCAGAAAGTACTGAGCTCTGGAAATGCCTCAGGCTCCCTAGGGAAGCAGCATGGCTCCTACTTAAGCTCCCTTTCCTGGGAAGCTCTTAATTTATGTTTACACTGAAATAAATGGAACAAAACAGTTTATTTGTGGGGGAGCATCTGAGAGGGTGGTTAGTGCAGCCCTGGGGAAGCAGCAGGAAGTGGGATAACCTCAGAGCCAGGCCCAGCAAAAAGTACATGAGGAACATTAGTTTCCACATACACAGCTCAGAGGAATCTAGAGACACAACTAAAGGAGGAAAAGGGAAATGCAGAAAGAGGCAGTTAAAGGTTTTTTAGTGTGTTTTTTAATCTGGTTGTTGATATTTCTAGAGTAGCTGATAAACTGCTACTTCACTAAAACTATTACCTAACTCAAATTCCCATGTACACCAAGGTTCTCCAACTTTCAACAAAGGCACCAGTCAGGAGAAGCTAAGGCCAGAGAGGGTAGTTAGCTTGGCAGGTAATGAAACAACATATCAGCCATCGCTTCTCCTTGATTCTTGACTGTCACATTACCCCCGAATATCCAAAGATGACAGCATTTATGTTGAGTGTTGAAAGCTGCAGAATTGTTAATACCCAAGTGCAATGCAAGGACCACACAAATGGATTTATATTTAAACTATCTGTGACAGGTAAATCCCAATACCTAAACACAGGATAGCTTAAGCCAAGCTTGGTCTTTGGTTTAAGCACTGACTGAGACTTATTCTAGACTCATTTCCCCTTCCCCAAGACTCCATCTTTGTGCACGTATCCACATGAGCAAAGGGCAGCTAAGAGCAGGAGGAGGCCTCTTTAGGGAAGGCTGGGAAGCAGCCACTGGAAAGCAGGAGAAGGCACACTGTGGTACCAGCCGCTGCTTTCTGGACCTTGTCCCAGCATCTGCTGCCAGCGAGTTCTCAAATCCCTTTGCCAGCACATAGTTCTGCATCCAGCTTCTGCCAGAAATAAACTTTGACGCCACCATGCGGTACTCTCTTACAAGCACAAGCCCAGACATTACCACCACCATCATTCCAGGCACTGCATTACACGTTTCTCCCTAGTCCTCAGATGCACACAGGGCAATAATTCAGAACTACATTGGGCTAGATAGTTCAACAGAAAATATTAAATGCTCTAAAGGGATGTTTAATCATCCACAGCCATCCTTTGCAAGGGCACTAGTGGGTCAGTAACTTCAACTTTCCAGCACTACCCCAGATCCCTTTCAAGTCCCTTTTCGTCATCCCATTTTCTAGCATGAGATCCTGATGAACAACAGTGGCACAGGGGCAACTGTGATTCAGTGTCCCCTCTCCTCACAGAGGGCTATACCAAGACAAAAAACAGTATCCAGCTTCCTTTGCAACAGGGAATGCACATTTCTTTGTAGCATCAGAAAGCTGGAAGTTTCATACAGTACACAAAAGCCAATAAACAAAGATGCCCCCAGTGCCTTACCAAAGCAGCTGCCACGATGTGAAAGAAAAGTTTTACAAGCTGTGGCAATGGCCAGCTCAGCAGAAACTACAGTCTTGATAATCAGGTCCTCCACGTTGGCCATCAGCGCTGCAAGGAGGGGGAAGAGGGGAAAAAAAAAAAAAAAAAAAGGAAAAAGTAGATTGTGAAGTAGCACACAGTATCTATAAAAGCATGACAATATGCTTATGGACAGATACCTTTGTGAATCAAAGCACATGAGAGCTTATGGATGACAAAGCAATGATTTTGGGAAATCCATGCAAGCGTAAGTATATAGATACATGCGTTAAGTATCCTAGTGCAAAAATACTGACAAATGAGAATGATAAAAGTGAGTACATGTACGGTGCAAGTAAGTAGAAACATGTGGCAAGCACATCAGCACAAGTCAGCTGGAGTCTGATCATTGCCCACTCAGAGTATTTGGAAGGATTAAAGAGTGCGTTAGTGAGATAAGCCCTTAAACTACAGAGAATAAGCCATAGCCGCTGAGATACAAAAATTTTTCTTGTGGACTTTTAAGAGATAACTGTTCTGTGATGTTGCACCTTCCTCTAAAGCAGCTGTTCCCATACCATGATTCACAAATCATTTCAAAATTATATGACTGGTGACAGCTCCCAGTCCTGCTGACCTACAGATAATCTCCAGTTTCAGTAAGGAAGCTCTCTCCAGCTCCTGTATGAGCCAGTTAACAGAGCTCAGGAACAGGAATCTGAGCTGACTGAGGCAATAAAAGATGCACATTAGATGTAGACATGGATTCTACACTGGGCTTGGGATGAGTCATGCAATAGACAGAACACCACACTTAGTTTTGAGGACAAGCAATAGGGAAGTGAGAGGAGGAGGGAATGAATGAACACTAGTCCTAGTCTAAAAAGCTAGTAGGGATGATAGGACAGCCTTCCCCACCCCTCAAAGGAAGCACAAGCAAACATGCAAGACCTCCAGCAAACCCACAGAGACATTTGGTAATCCCTGTCCCAAAGAACATCTAGTACAAACCACTTGACTAGAGAGCTCAATTTAGGCCTACAATTACTATTTCTCATGTTCAGATGATGCCGTGCAGGGACCTGAATAATTACAGAGGAGCATGCAAGCAAATTCAAATGTGAACTTCTGTGCCAAAAGACAACTAAGTGGAAGCAACACAGCATGGGAATGTCTAAGTGCACATAAACATCCCAGAGCACAAATGTCTTGCCAGCAGAGACAAGGCCAGCGCCTTTCAGCCAGCATTCTGCCTCCCTATAACTAGGACCAAATGCATCAGAGAAAGGTGCAAGAAGCCTTGTAATGGATAGTTAGAGAAACCTGCTTGCATTGCTCAGCAGTTTACTCGATAATTAAGAGCGTACGTTTTATACTTTAGGTTGGGGTGTGGAAATCTATCAATATAAATAACAGGTTACCAAAAACATATGGTGCAAGTGACTGGACAGCCATGCACGCATATGATGGGGAGAAAGTCTACTTCCACCTGAAAGCCAGATTCAAACCCCTTCCTCCAACATCTAAGTGTTCCCTGGCAACATGTGGAATATGGGCATGGCTGCTATCAGTAGTGTTAATGATGCCTCAGTATCACAGGTAATTTATCCCTTAAAGGATATACCTGGATTCTGCTCTGCAGATGTATTTACTCCCAGCAGACCTGGCAAAGGTGTGGAAGAGGGAGCTATTTTATATGAAACACAGACTGAAATGAAAACACCCAGCAAAAACCTGAGCCATGGAAAGATGACACCACATCCAAGAGTCATTCAAACTGGCACAGTTCTCCAGAGGTTGGTCACTCATCAGACTGAACAGGCCATGGGAGCAGTAGAGGGAGGGAAGCTTTTAGAAGGAATGGAATGACCTTAAGAAACGGGAAACGTAGGTAAAATATTAAGAAACACACCCTGAGAAAGTCTCAGAATATTATTTGCAAAAGGGAGGGGGTAGGCCTCATCTCTGGGGACAGGACTCATCTCTGGGGATAGAGAATAAATGCACAGCTCTAGTGAGTAAGCTGTAAGAAACAATGCTTCCCTCCACCCTGCTATGGTGCTAAATGGGACTCAGTGGGGCTCTTCCCTGACTTCTTAGGATTCGCACTAGTGAGATGATTAAGATCCAACAAAGGAATAAAAGAACAAGATCTGTACTGACCTGCAGTATCTCTCCCCTCTTGTTTTAAGTACCTCAGCATTGCACTCATGCTCCACTTGTTTCCGTAATCCTCTACTTCAGGATCATCACAGCTAAAAATAAATGAAAGAAGCAAGTTGACACCACTGGCCTACCTCTATGGACTTGCACCAGCCTTATACCAACTTAGGTAAAATGACCCAACCCCTAGAGATCAAGTTCCATTTTCCAGCCAAGTACCTGACATAATCTCCACTCTTCTTGTTGACACTGTAGTTGGTTAGATGCATGAACTGGTTTTTAATGTTCTTGGATGTCTGGTCATACCTTACTGTTGCAAACCTGTAAAGAGGGATAAAGATTCACAGTATTTCTTGAACAAGTGACATGCTTACTAAATATGACCTACTACACAACATGTTGAATGGTCACTCAACAGCAGCTAGGGAGAGAATGCACGTAATGAGACTTCACCAAATCCAACTTCTCCTCACGAAAAATATGGTTTATTCTCAAGGGTGACATTCAAGTGCATTTGGTCGCTTTTTTCAGTGTCCTGGAGCAGGAAGCTCCATTTGTTCTCCTGGGATTTTTCACAGCCTAACAGCATGCCTGGCACATTTTTTCCTTGACTGCTTAGATTTCTGGTCCTTGGGCATTCTGGCCAAATAGGCCACTTCGCTTTAGACAGTCAGTGTCACAGTCCCTTCAATTTCACAATAGGCCCTACCATGAGTACGTAAGATCCACTGGTGCTGGGAAACACACACATTCAGAGCAATCATACTACATATGCATACCACAGTCAACATTTCCTAAAGTCTCAGACAAGCACAGCTCAGTTCTTGTGTACTCCAAGGATGCCTTAGGAAAGGCTGAGAGTGGGAACAGATATCTGCCACCAACTACACAGCCTCCAACTGCCAATCCTCTTTCTCAAGAGGCATCCAGGAAACCAAGCACGACCTGCAGGCCAGACCAATTTGTCCAATAAGGCAGCATCTGCTCCAGGGTGCTGTCATTCTCAGGGACCACACAACTCTTCCGTATCTCAAAGAGGTAACCTAGCTGTGTACAAGGAAAGGGACTGTAGAGAAGATCACAATCAGGAGCTAAACACTGCTACAAACTTATCTAGTCTCCATAAGGACTCTGTTACAGCCAAAAATATCACAGTTAAATCAGCCTGTTTATTATGGAAACAGTGGTAACCTCCTGATTAAAAGGCATTACCTGTACTGTAACCACACACCCCATCACCATTCCCTTAGCCATACGCTACCATCATGTAGCCATACGCTACCATCACTACCATGATGTTTGTGTTGAAATGAATCAAAGAATTGATTCAACTGAAAAACAGCCCAGGATTTTGGTTTGTAACATGTTTGATGCCTTTTTTTTTTTATTTTGTGTTGAGGGGGAGGCAGGGGGAACAGAAAGAGAGAGAGAAGGGTGCAAAAGGACAAAGTAGATCAGCTCCCGGATCCAGCTACAAAGTTGTAACTTGATAAGCTTTGTTTTCCTCCCCTTTCCAGTGGCCACTCAGACTTAAGCTATCCATACTCTCTTTCCTCAGCTATCCACCTTCATTTTACCTGCACAATACCAGCATAGGAGTGCCTGTCCTGCACAGCAAGCCATCTAAAACCAGCCTTTTTTGCTAAGCTATTTATCAAATCAGATCAGTTCACTGCATGGGTACAGAAATTCTTGTGGTGATACAATACAATGGACACCACAAGCCCCTGAATGAGCATAGGAATACAGGACAAAATTGCACTGAAGCAATTTAAATAGTAATCTTATCAATAGCACACCTCTAAGAAGTTGAATGAATGCTGAAACAATGTAAGCTTCTGGGGGAGGGGAAGGAGCTTCCTGCAACCAACTGCTAGTACAGGTGCCCATGCTATCCCTCTATTCCAGTCTTCCCTGTGCAGCCAGAGGGGAACTGATCATATACCTGTGCCAGAAAAGGAAAGGGTCAACACAAGAATGGGAACAGCAGCCAGGAAGAGTGCATGGTTGTTTCTCTTGATAGCCATGCCAATTCAAAGTGTTTAAAAGGACATCTTGTGCAACAGTTGCTTTCTAAAGGTGTAGTTGCATGATCAGTCTTTGTCAGTTTAAGGATGCACTGCAGCTCATCACCTGCTCGGTTGCACACTCCAACGACTCTACTTGATCTGCTCCACAAATTACATAGCCACAAGCCGGACAGATCACTTCACAGATCTGACTGAACAGCCACTTGAGCAAATACAGAAAGATATAAATTAACTTTCAATCAGATGCAGGTACCTCTTTCAGACATAACGAAGGAGAGTGTTAGGATGCAGAGTCAGGACAGGAGGAGGGCAGTGCCTCCATTTTAGGAGCAAGCCACAAAACAACTGAAAAAAAAAAACCCCAAAACATTAAGCAGAGAATACTACTATTTGTGGCAACATTTGCCAAATTCTACATCCAGACAAGAACACATCATCAGGTTAAATATAATGTAATAGAAGAGTTCCAGTTGGAAGGGACCTAGAATAATCATCTAGTCCAACTGCAATCATTTCCTTATTCTGCATATAATCAATTCCTGTTTCAATATATTTTAGGCCTCAGACTTTGCAGAAAAATAAATAAAAGATTGAGGGCAGAATACAGAGCATCTGGTTGGCAGAGTGACCAGTATGAGCCACTGGTAACCAATACAGCTCATAAGAGCAAGCATGTTCTAGGTCAAAAAACAAAACAAAAATCAACAAGAGAAAAAACACCTTCTTCACTCTGACCATCCAATCCTCCTATACTGCAATAGCTTAAGATGCCAGTGTCCCAAGAGAGATAAAGGGGCGTAAGAAAGGGTAGAGGGAAAGTCAGACGTATGCTATCCCAAGAAACCCTGGCGAGACGGAAAGAAAGTACCAAGGAGAGCAGGGTTAGTTGCAAGAAAAGGCAAGTAGATTTGGGTGAAGCCTCGAGGCAGGAAAAGGAGGCAGTGCTCAGGAAAAATGGAATAGGGAGAGAGTGAGAAGAATTTCAGGAGCATCTGGCTGTCCAATGAAGTTAGTGTCCAGAAAAGAATGCATCCCAAATTTGCTTTATTAACAGTCATCTCTCTTCATCCTTCCCCTATTATTTTCTGTAGTTTAGAAGAAGCAGAACTATACAAGGACATCTAACAAGCTACACACACACAAAAAAAAATTCCTTCCTTTAGAAAGAACGGCCAAAAAAAAAATCTCATTTCTCAGTGAAAATGAAGCCACTACTGCCCTCACTTGGTAGCCATTTTGAGAAATACCTCTCTCCCCACAAGAGCTATACCAGGAAATCCATGAAGATGCTCATCAGGTTAAATCTATCCTTAAGTACACAGGTGGGAGCAGGAAAAAAGACAAAAAACTCTGATGTAACTAACTTTAAGTGGCAAGGTTAAAAAAGTGAAAAAGATTTTGCACCATATTTTTCTGAGCTTTAACTACATATGAAGCCAGAACAGCTGGCAACAGAAAAGAGTTTGGAAGTTTGGATCTCCTTTCCACATATTTCCACAACTTAAAAGTATTTGAATTTCTTTTCAGTTTAACTGTAAGTTTCCTGGATTTAGCACTTCTGTTCTGAAAATAGTGACAACAGCTCTATCATATGTTTTGTTCTTAATTATGATTTCATCATCTCCACCTCAATCATTTACTGCCAGCATACTGAAAGCATTTGTTGATAATATGCTTTCAGCCAGATCCTGGAAGATACTGAGCACAAGCAACAAGAGCTATTTCAAACTCATGGCTCCCTCAATAGTTTGAAGCAGAGGACAATTAGGTTCACCATGCTTATCAGCTTCTTATTTTTAATTATGCACATAATCAGAAATACGAACATATGAACCCCTGGCAAACATAGACAATACTTCTAAACAACAGTATTTCTTTACCTTGCAAATCCTTGCATTAGCTTCCTTCTACAAAGATAGTCCTTAATAATTAGGTGGTCTGAGCTCCATGCCCATAGAATTTACATTTCCATGGGAACCGATTATTCAGAAGGGATTTCAATGTGTTTTAGAGCTCTCAGTACACAAACTTGCTCTTCTACTAGGATGCTGTCATCTTAAGGGATATCATGGGCCAGTTCAGCAATGCATCAAAAAAATTACAAAACATTAAATGACTCAAATCTACTATCAAAAAAACCCTAAACTTTAAACAACAGAATGAAGTGCCAGCTTAATACATTCTCCAAGAGCTGGTCTGACAGCCTTACTAGCCTCATGCTAAGTGCAAGTCTGCAAATGGAAAATCCAAGTTATTTCTAGAGCCTCTATCAATAGCCTCTGGATGTTAGAACAGCAATAGATCACAAGTATAACCTTGCAACAGCCCACATCCTTTGTGCTTGCTTGCGATGGAAGAGCATTACTACCACTGAAATACCAGTCACAATTACCTTTGGTACTCTATAGTTCTACAGTTTTTCATACTATACTTCACTGTATCTTTCTTCCACTGTAGTAACAAGGCTACTCATCCACACACTTGTTCTCTCCAGGAAAGAGAAGAGACTTGCATGCTACAGAATGTCTTGCTTGAACAGAAGTTTACAGGTTATTTTTAGAGACGCCAAGCGCACAGGAACAGGCCTTACAGTAAGAGTGGAAAGGAAGAAAAAACTTAAATGCTTGTAAAAATCTTCTAGGTGTTAATCTGATATTAGAATAAACTCTTGAGAAATCTTAAAATCTTTGAGACGATGATTTCATTTCAGAGTCCAACTCTTTTCCAACTTCATTTCCGGGCCCTGCTCTTTTCCAATTTCTGTCCACTTCGAAGAATAGAATATTTGTCACCTAAAAGATAAGGGCCAAGATCCTAAGAGTAATTTAGAAACTATATGGTAAGGTGACACAGAAAATAAAGGGTGAGCCTGGTGTTTTCCCAGTAACACAATTTACCACGAGCACATGCTGCAACATTCTGCACGAGCTATTTTCCTAAGCACTAAAGGCTTCTTGCCCAGGTATCTCATATTGCTATAACCCAGCCAAAGAGTGATGAAGGCACAAATAACTGAGGCCAGGTCAACATCTGCCAGGATAGCACTGTTTCCTAGCCAAAGCATTACTCGTGGATGCTGCTATGTGGGCGCCTGCAATCAGCCAGGAATCCAAGAGTACTCCTAAACTGGAGGCTGGACTGTCCACACGCGGAGGGGCATCTTCAGCCAAAGGAGACTATTTTATCAAGTGAAACTCTTCAAAATGCTATCTTCTGCTTACTAACACCACCTCTTTCTTGCTTTGCTTCAAGCAACTCTTATTTTCCCCTACTGTGATCTGATCCTGTCCA